TAGATAGATAGATAGATAGATAGATAGATAGATAGATAGATAGATAGATAGATAGATAGATAGATAGATAGATAGATAGATAGATAGATAGATAGATGCAAAGTGCATTACAAAAAAAATATGTACACTATAAATGTAAGAAAAACAGCTGCATGATGGTATAAAACAAAAATAAGGGGTCTTTTGTGTGCCTGACACTGAATGAAGAGTCATTTTTCAGTTTTAGAGAGGACAGTAGGAATGATTTCCTGAAGTGTTCTTGTCTCAGTGTCTCATTTGACACTGAGACTCATCTGAATCTTAGTTTCTCCTGCCAAAGACAGCAGGGTCAGAATTTGGAGTTAAACAGCATGAAACGTGGCTGCATCCCCGCTGGTTCAGACTAGTGGTGGTGGTGTAGTGGGGTGGGGATATTTTCTCAGCACAAACCAGCTTGTTACTGATTTTGCCCATACCTTTTTCAACATTGTACCAAACATTTGATGGCTGCTTCCAGTAGGATAATGTGCCATGTCATTAAGTAAAAATCAACTGCTGAACAGCACATTGATTTCTTTGTACTCACATGGCCTCCACAGAGATGCAGTGGAACGGAAGAACAAGATGATATCGTCTCTATATGGACCAAACATCCTAGAAAGGTTTACCTGATAAACTGGGGTACATTGGGACTGACTCTTGTGGCCGTTAGAGTAGACGTAATTTTTTTAGCTCTAGCTCTAGCTAATTGCTTTGCTATCTAAAGTGGAAACTCTTACTTCTAAGTTTATGGATATGCAAGTGCAGTTGTATTTGGGTGGTTTATGATGATGCCTCACAACAAATAGGCTCAGAGTTCAACTCTAAGCTGGATGGTGCCATTTTACATGGATTCTGCATGTTTTTCCACTGTCGGCTGAAATTGATGCCATGGATGTGAGTTAGAGAGTGTGTAGTTGGTGCTGTGATGGACTGGCTCTGGATCTGTCCATGGTGTATCCTGCCCTGTTTTTCAGCCAATGACAGCTGAGATTATGCTCCAGCCTGTCTGTGACCCTGAACCGTATAAGCAATTAAGAAAATGGATGGAGTGGATGGATTGACTGTGCGATCGTTGTGCATAGTTGTTACATGCGCCTGGCCTGGTTTTAAAAAACCAAGCATTTGCTTGAACAATTACGGAAAAACTCAGTGTTTACCGTTCAAACAAAGGGCAACAGCTGATCAAGTGTTTTGCTTTCCTGAGAAACTGATTCTTTTATCTCTAATCAAATCTTATTTTGTTGATAAGGCATAACTTTCCTTTTCATAAAAACATTTTCCTTCATCCAGTATTAGGTTTGGTTTTCACACCTCTGAAATACTGCCTACACCTTTGATTTTTTTTTTTCCCCAGTAAGTCAAACAGAAAAGTGAATCTCACACAAAAAAGGGGAAATTCATTTCATTTACGGCCTCAAGATAACCTTTTTCTACCTATAAATCATTGCCAGTAGAATTCATACTGAAAGCCAGATTTCAGATTATTTTCTGCTGCTGGATTATACTGCCAGAGAAAGCTTACTGCAAGTTTCTCTTAGCTGTGTTCTTGAATTAAATGAGTTTATCTACTAATATTGGTGGTTTTGAATGCAAGCCAACATGCAAACCTCCAGATTTATGATAACAGCTTTACAAGATAAGCCTTAAATCTGATCAAATGGGAGTTTAAAATGAAAGTTTAAAAAAAATACATTTCTCTTCATGTCTTTCCTGCCTGTTTTTGCCACAACCACTGAGTTTTCTGTCAGTTGCTTCGGATGCTGCCACCCCCCTTTCCTGTACCTGTTGCTCCTTAGCGTTCTTGTTCCTGACCGAGCTTCTGTTTGTTTTTTGTTTTGTTCACTTGAGATTTACCTTCTTGTTGGCATAGCCTCTAACACAGTTTTTTCCTGAAATACTCACCTCAGTAAAGGTGAACTATTTTAGTTTATTTCCATCACCCTTTCCACAAACCTGTCAATATTGGTCTACTTGTCAGTTTCCATATCACGACTGCAGCTTTTGTTCCTCTCGCGCTCTAATGGGAAGCAAAAAAGTCTTTGACATCTCAGAGCAACCATGTCAGTTTAAGTAAACAACTCTAAACTCTAAACATTTTCCAGCGAGCAGTAAATCTTCACTGCAGAAGCAAAAAGAGACTAAGAGGTTTCGTTCTTTTGTCCAAACTTTAAGAAGGCACTGCCCTCCTGTGGCTGTGAGTGACAACAACACAGCTTTTTATCTACCCTTCAACCTCGTTTCAATTATTTTGTGAGTCTGCGCTCTCGAGAAACAAGCCAGTATGCTAATATGTGCTAATATGCAGAGAAAAAAACAGGACCTAGGCGAGGAAACTAGGTTGTTGCAGAGGAATAATAGCAGCTGCAGATCATGAAATACAAGCAGTCGTAAGCAAAACAGATGAAACTATGTAGAAAACCTGGTAACAGATTAGTATTATGAATATGTTATGAAAGTGTTGCATCATTCTCTTACTGGACACTTTATTAGTTGCACCTTCCTAATGCTATGGACCAACTTTTGCCTTCAGACCTGCTTTAATTCTTCATGGCGTAGATTTAACAAAGTGCTAGAAATGTTTCTCAGAGCTTTTGGTCCACATTGGCATGACAGCATCACACAGTCGCCAACCAAGAAAATACCCCACACAATTACACCACCACCAGAACCATTGGTGGATCCATGCCTTCATGTTATTCTGATCCCACTGTCTGAATGTCACAGCAGAAATTAACACTCATTGGATCAGAAAATATTTTTCCAATCATCCGTTGCCCAGTTTTGATGAGCCTGTGTGAGCCTCAGTTTCCCGTCCATAGAGGACAGGAGTGCTCAGCTAAGAACAGGAAGATTTCTGCTGACTGGGTGCTTGATGCTGTGGGTCTTCTGCTTCAAGCTTCCATTGTGCATTCAGAGATGCTCTTCTGCAGGCTTTGGATGTAACGAGTGTAGTTTGAGTTAGTGTTGCTTTCCTATCAGCTCAAAGCAGTCTAGAAATCCTCCTCTGATCTCCAGCAAAGGATTTCTACCAAAAAACAGCCACTCACGGATATTTTATGTTTTTTAGACCATGCTCTGCACATCTTACAGGTGGTTGGTCAGGCACGGACACAGGAGAGGAGGCAGAATTAACTTTAAACAAAAAGCAAGTTTTCATTAGGGCTGATGTGACGTGAAACATAAAACAAAGCACGAAACAAACTTGAGCAAGCAACTAAACTGAAGGCAATGACAAAACTAAGGAATCTATGAATAAACTGTGACACTGTGACTAGATTATGACGACAATGAATGCTATGAAAACTGTGAGTACTAAGAACACAATGACATCTACAACTGGACACGGGGAAGGTAACACGGACTACTAGACAGAGGACTTAAATACACACATGAGGTGATCAGGGGAAGTGGAGACACAGGAGGACACAGCTGACTAGAATGAGACATAATAACTAAAACTAAGGAACCAAGAACTCAAGGCTCTTTCAAAATAAAGCAGGAAACATGGACATGACATGAGCAACATGAAAACACACAGACAGAAAATACATGACGCAGAAGACTGGGACAGACTTACACCAGGGGACATGAAGAGACTCGTAACTATAGAGACATGAAAGAACCTAAACTATACTGCAACTCAAGGTAACAATAATAATACTAAGACTTAACA